ACGTGACATCTGTCCTTCTTTACGGCAGCGAATGTTGGACAATTTCCTCAAAGATGAAGAAGAGACTCGAGGCGACAGAGATGTGGTTCTACAGAAGGATGCTAAGGATATCATGGACCGACCGCGTGAGCAACGATACGGTCTTAGAGAAGTTGCAAACAAGGAGGAAACAGCTGAAGTTCCTGGGACACATAATGAGGAAGGAGGGCCTGGAAAATTTGATATTCACGAGTCGAAAAGAGGGAAAGAGAGACAAAGGAAAACATCGCATGACATACCTAGTGTCTTTAAGCAAGTGGATGACAGAACGTGATCTGGGGGAGGTGGCAGAGGGAAGGAACTTGTTGAGAGCTGCAAGGGATAAGGGGAGGTGGAGAGCCATGATCGCCTACGTCCTGAAAGGATATGGCACATAGAAAGAAAGAACATTGTTTGCTTCATCGATCTCCTTGGGCGAAATTAACTCATAAAATGGTAGAGATAATTTTACTTGTTTCCTTATAATGAAACATTCGGCATTCATTTACGGAGCAGCCAGTGTTGCAGAGGGTTGAAAATTATATAAATTTTCTATTAAATATTTCATGAAAATATGTTTAACATGTTCACTATTATCACTCTTCCCAGTGCAGATAGGTCTTTTTACGTAACATTCTATTTGAAATGGTGGTTGACGTCAGAATCTTGATTATGTGAATATCTTCTCTTCGATTTATATAGGATATCCATTTTACTTGATGCTACTATTCATAGTGTTCAGATGGTAGCATTGCTATTATTTGGTACAATTTTTATAGTCCTGTAGCGCCAGTCCACAAGCTTTCAAAAAGAAAGGAAAATAAATATAAAATTAATATTTATTTCAAGTTGTTTTGGTTCAAGAAATGTAATCCTAATAGATGTCTTCTGAAATTCTACAACCATTTGCGTCGTAGGATCCATGTGTTTGCGTCAATGTGAAAAAATCAATTAGATCGTTCTTCGATTTAAGTCAAGGAAGTTTGATATCGAATAATGTTCCTATTGTTGGATATCCAGAATGATTTTTTTTTTTCAGAATTCACTCTCATATGTTCTACAAAAACCCAACCCTGTGTCAAACTTGGTTAAATCTTTAAAAAATAATAAACTCCTCTACTGTAGGTAGTAGCGTAGAAATACAAATATTCTGGCGAACGCATAGATTGATAAAGACTTAAACAAATATATTTTGTCCGGTAAACCCCCACAAAAAAAAAAAGATGGCGGTTATTTTTTGCTACTTTTTTTATATAGTTGTTGGGATATCATGGAAAGATTTATTTTTGACAGGAAAGATTGAATGAAAGTCTTGTCCCAAAATAATAATAAAAAAAGGAATATCCAACCCGAAGCCCTCAAGTCTTAAAAGAAAAAAAAATCAAACATTTTTTTTCTGACTTTTGCTCGTTCACCTAATTATCGGTTGCAACGGAAGTTGCAGCAGATCGTATAATTGGATTCTGTCTAGTTGAGTACAATAATCCAAGTTGATTAATCTTTTTTCTCCTTCCGCCTCTAATTATATCGCTTCCTACGTTTTCTTAGGCTTTGACTCTTCTTCACTGCATATCTCACTGTCAATGATTTCTTCTCTTCTTTTCTCTTCTTCATCACGTTACAGACACACACACACATACACACACAAGGCTTACGGCCATATCCTATTGAAACAACGGTTCCTGTACAATCACAAAACTTAAGAAAAATCGAGGCTGCCCAATACCTAGATGAGTGACCACTTGGAAATACCAGAAGCTGTGTGAGCGTATGGATGGATCACAGTTCTGAATTGAAAATCGGAGAGCAGAGATCCGATTCCAAACTTCATATTCGCTTACGCGCAAATACTCTTGGTAAAGGAGTGACTCTACCTCTACTCCGCAACCTTCACAATCAACGGGTTAATTATTAGGACTTGTATCAGCAAATCATTATTATCTCCAAAAAATTCTTACAATCTAAAAGATTGTAAGAATTTTTTTGAGATAATAATGATTTACACTAAACGCTTAAATGTGACCGTCTCTTCTACTCCAACAGCTTCTTCTCCCGCACTTCTCGTTTGTGGAACTCCCTTCTCCTTAATTGCTTCCCCGATGACTATAATCTTCAAATATTTAAGTGTAATGTCAATCGACATCTGACACCCTGAGCTTGTTCCTCGTCCTTCACTGTATCCTTTCCTCAAACATGCCTTTTTACTCTTGTTCTCGACACTCTGTAACCCCTTGCGTGCTAGGGCACTCCCGTCTTGCTTGGTGTGAATTGCTTTAAAAAAAAAACCTGCAAAAGGTTGATAAGCCGTAAGAAGCTAATCAATCTTTGCAGCACACACATACACATATTAACACACACACAAACACACTCTCCAACATAGACATATTGAAAATTTTCTTGGATTTTCTTGCTTATTTTTCTACGTGTCACTAACTTTCTGATTTAGTCTAATTTACTTTGTTACTTCCTTTTACAATCTTACATGCAATCTCTTAATTTAGTGAATTTTTTTCTCTTATTTCTTGTCTGCTCTTTATCTTTGCTATACCGCGGTATCTTCTTTTTACTCTTTTATTTTATATACGTCTGTTTTTTTTGGGGGTGGGGTAGTTATTTCACATTCAACGTCTCTTGAAATCCTTCTATTTTAATGTTTACAGTTGTTTTTTTCTGTACTATTTGTTCCATGATATCTCGTCCAAAAACTTAGCTTTCTCGTTCGTTTTGTCTTTCTTCTTTTTCCATCTACAACATATTAGACATTCTTGTCTAAACCATTTCTTTCTTCCTTGTTCTTTTAATATTGTTTTTATTTATCGTTTTTCATTTATTTTTCCTTCTACTTTCCTCCATTCTCTGTCACAGTTTATCTAATTATCATTTTCTTTATTTTTCATCATCCTTATCTCTTTCTGACATTTTACATCCCTCTTTTTATCTTTTTTTTCTAACAAAATTTATATAAACACACACAGACATTTTCTTTCTTAATTTTTCTCCTCTGTATTGATTTCTACTGACGCTATTTCACTCATACTTGTTCTTGCGTTTCAACTTGTCTCTCTCGAAGCTTCATTTTTTTTTCTTGTCACCAATCTCCCTTTCTCTTTCTCCTCTCTCATTCTCTTATATCTATTTTCTTGTTTTTATCTTGTCTCTCTCAAGGCTTAATTTTTCTTGTTCCCAATCTCTTTGTCACTCTCTTTCTTTATCTCTCTCTCTCTCTCTCTCTCTCTCTCTCTTTCACTCTTTCTCTCTTTCTTTCATCTATTCTACACTTTTCATCTTGTCTATCTCAATTTTTTTTCTTGTCTGGGATCACTATTTCTCTCTCTTTCTCTTACTCTCTCTCTCCCCATCTCTCTCTCTCTCTCTCTTTCTCTCTCTCTTTTCTGACACAAACATACACACACACACATCTATTTTCTTCTTTTCATCTTGTCTTTCTCCAGGTTTCATTTTTCTTTCTAGACTGATCGCTATTTTTCTCTTTCTTTCTTTCTTTCTTTCTTTCTTTCTTTCTTTCTTTTCTCTCTCTCTCTCTCTCTCTCTCTCTCTCTCTCTCTCGCTTACATTTATTATTTGCTTTTAATCTTCCAATACCTATTTTTCTCTTTCTGTCTTTTTCTTTCTCTGTCTCATATCTTTTCTCTTCTTTTCATTTTGTTTCTCCCAAGGTTTCATTTTTGCTTTATTCTCTCTCTCTCTCTCTCTCTCTCTCTCTCTCTCTCTCTCTCTCTCATCTTCTCCCTTTTCTTCTTTCTATCGTGTCTCGCTTAGCGTTTCACTTTTCTTTCTCATCGACTATCTACCCACCTCTAAATTCTCTCCCCCCATTTACTCTTCCCCCCGCTTCATCTTCCTCTCTTCGTAAGATTTGCATGTGGTCTTCTGCCCTGATCAACGATGGATTAAGACGCAAAAATGTCTACAATCTTCTCATCTTTGATCACTTGGACAATGTTTACTCTGATTAGCAAATGCCGTGCAGACTTTATATTTTTATAGCGTTTTGCTCAAGCTTCGTTTTTTTTTCCCGCTGTTGTTTTCGACGAAAACTAATTTGGTGAGTTTGAGACAAGTAGATGTAATTTGTACGAGCAAACAGGGAAAAACTTAATTTTCATCTTAGCCGTCTACTCTATTATTTAATCGTTCAGTTTCTTCTTGAAAAGTACTTTCCTTATAAAAGCAGAATTTCAACTGTGTTTCTGTTGCATCATATTTTAAGCAAATCGAGTATACGAAAAATAGTCATTTTGAGTAAGTGTTTCTAACACCAAATGACTTCCGAAATACTAATCAAATTTCCTAGTTATCAATATTTCATATATATATATATATATATATAATTGATATATATATATATCTATATCTATATATATATATATATATATATATATGATATATATATATATATATATATATTGATATATATATATATGATTGATATATATATATGATTGATATATATATATATATATATATATTGATATATATATATATGATTGATGATATATATATATATATGATTGATATATATATATATGATTTATATATATATATATATATATATATATTTATATATATATATATATATATATATATATATTATATATATATATATATATGATTGATATATATATATATATTGATATATATATATATATATTATATATATATATATGATTGATATATATATATGATTGATATATATATATATATATATATATATATATATATATATATATAATAAAAAATATAGTTTAAACGTTACCTATATTTATGTTAAGTGCTCAATATCAGGTTTAACGCATATGAAAATATAAAAGTGGATATTGAAGTCAGCATCCATAAGCGACAGTCTACTTCATGCTTAAACGCAATCGTCAGACCATATGCGTTGTGCATGAAACAAACGGTCGCCCTTGGGTATTGACCTCAAAGTCCACGTGTATATATATATATATATATATATATATATATATATATATATATATATATTTATAATCCCCAAACAGTGTTTATTCACTTTTGCTACCATCTTTTATAGACAAAAAATTGGCTTACCGATGGCATCTCCTTTCAGCTGTGTCATAGCTTGTATATTTTTGGAATTTCAGGTAGTGACCCTTTCAAAAACATTTTACCACAAAACTCTTCTTATTTCGGATATATTGACGGGTCCAAACAAATATATCCACAAAATGTTATTTTACCAGATCTTGTCAACAAATTTAATGGCTTGAACTCACAACCGACTATACCTTTGAACCTTAGGCAACTACACTCTTTCCTTCATAGATATTATATTACATAGATACAATAATGAACTCGAATTTGACGTTTACAGAAAAGCTACCAACAAGATTGACCTGGCCAGCTTTTATTCCACTATTATAATAAGATTAAATTTACTATAATTATAGGTTTCTTCTTAAAAAAAATTAGCTGAGTCACAAGATATCTAATCAAAGAAAAAACACACATAGAAAACACATTCAAAAATCTCCAATATTCTTATCACTTGATTTCCAACGCAAAGAGAAATGCATACAAAATACTCAACCGCAACAAAGATACCAACATTATCCGCAACAATAAATTAGACAAATACACATACATAATGCTACCTACCAACTCCATAACATCCACTATCCAAACAACTTCTCCCATCTAAAGAACATCCAAATAATCACAGTCACTTCTAGAACTATTAATGATATGATCAAAACTAAAAATATACATAAAAATAAAAAATTAAGACACAGACATATATACAATAAATAGCCAAAGAGATTTTCCTTACAGTATACGGGGTAACATGCAGAAATTTAAAAAATGTATCTATGAACACAAAACTGGCCTTATACATAACAATTTATCAAATGCACTCGTTATACATAGAAGTAAATTCAACTACAATTCTGATTTTCAAAAGGCCACAGTTATCAAAAGACAAAGTAATTTGCCACTACAGAATTTTATGAAAATATAAATCTACGCCCCGGTTTCTTTCCAACCGCACCTTTCCTGAAGAATTACTGTTTTCCAAGTGAACATACACAACAACAAAAATGTTAAAAAAATCAAAAGAAAAAGGTTAAATCTATTGCCTCATGTTTTGAAGATGTCCAGCACATACGTCCATCCCAAACCATAACAATCTCATCACATTTTAAACAATATTCATTTACTTAAAAAACTTCTTGAATATCACCCACTCACTTTTGTCCTAACGGACTTTGAATTATGGTAATTTGTCGCGCCACCTGTTTTAACTAACCATTCAATAATCTGCTGAATATTCATGAACATTCTCAAATTTATAAATTTTAATAAAGCAATGACATGCTTGGTCTCGTATATAAAAACGTGCAACAAGATAAATCCTTTTGTTTGCCTTGATAAAGTTCCTCAGGGACGAGTCAGCTAAGAATAGTTTTTTTTTCCCTTGTCCTTTTATTTATATATATATATATATATATATATATATATATATATATATATATATATATATATACACATGTTTCATTAAATAATATAGACAAGTGTTGTCTATTTATTTTATGTAAATTCTTTTCATAACGTCTGATAAGGTTAATAACATTATCATTAAACGAAGAAGCTTATGTAAGCCGAAAGTTTAGATTGGATTAAAAGATATATATCAATATTGTGATTTTCTTTCTTTAAATGATAATGTTATTAGCTTATCAGACGTTATGAAAAGAATTTACATAAAATAAATAGATTATTAAATGAAACATGTATGAATGAAAAAATTCTGCCTAAATACAAAAATATATATATATATATATATATATATATATATATATATATATATATATATATATATATATGAATGATAGAATAGGATAAATAGCAAGGAAGAAACGTTTATCAATCTAATATGTTTCACTTTTATTAAAGCTTCATCAGAGAATGTGAAATGGAAAAGAAGAATGTGATTGGTCTTGACTTAGAGTCTCGACTCCAGTCACTTTCTCACTGACGTAACATGGCTTCCCTCTGCCTTTTCTATAAATATTTTCGTGGCAACGGCTCTGATGAGCTATTTTCAGTCGTGCCCCGACTGCATGAATTTAATCTGCTGCGTTGGTATCTCCATCCTACTCTTTTACTGTTGAAACAGTTAAATGTAACCGCCTCTTCTACTCCAATAGCGTCTCCTCTCGCACTTCCCGTCAGAGAAACTCCCTTCCTGGTAGCTATAATCTTCAAAAAATTAGATATAATGTCAGTCAACATCTTCTGTTGCCTTGATCCCCGTTCTTCTTTCTATTATGCTCCGTTCTTTTTTTATCCTTTCTTCAACCCCCACTATACTCAGTATTTTCCCTTACTTACAGCCTCTGTGGCCCTTTGCTTTGCTTGGAGGGAAATGCTTTTAAAAAATTAAAAAATAAAAATAGATAAATTCTTTTATTTTAACCCATATTCTATTCTCTGATGAAGCTTTAGTAAAAGTCAAACATGTTCGATTGATAAATGTTCCCCATGTTTTCGTTATCCTATCCTGTTGGATTACGATCCATATTTGATCTATATTTGATACCAGTTAATAGTTGTTACGAGTTACTTTTGATGACTTCTTGCCTGGAAAGAAACAATGCACTTATTAATTAGAGGAACTGATATTAATACATGCAAGGTTTCACGGCTATAGCATCACTCCTTCATAGTCAGTCTGTAAACTCTCGTACACTATGTTTTCCTTCATTTATTTCAAGGTGCCTAATTTTAAATGAAATCATCGATCAAATATAGATCATTTTTCTCTCCGTTTATAGTTGTAGTAATGTCGTCTCGAATTCCATCAATTTCCTCAAATATCTTTTCGAATTTGGTGCATGCATTTCTATTATTCATAGAAAATCTCTTACACATTCTAATTAAAATATAAACTACTGTGATCTCGTAGCGAAATTGCTACATTTCATACAGTGTCACTACTGACTAAAAAGACCAAAACATGTTCTCCTTTACCTAAAAACAAAGCAGATCGTTACTTACGTTCAGCTTTAGGAGGGTATCTCTATATTTCTATGAGTTTCGCTAACACCTACCACTTTCCAAGTGATGTAGTTAATTTCTACCACTATTTGAAACAGTTTGCCGTGTTCAGCTATACTTTGAACGTTATATATGCATGTATATGTTTTTAATGGTGGTTAATACACGCTTTTTTGGCATGCTAAGAGAGTATTTAGTCGTCATTTTTATTTAATACCAGCAGAAGCGCGAGACTGCGATTCCTTCACGATCAACCATGATGACGACAAGGCTATATACTTAATATTCTCATTATTTTGTATCCTACATATATAGCTGCGAAAAGAACCCAGCCGTAGCCACTAGTTTCTGGTGAACTTAATCGAGTGGATACCACTGATGTTAATCCCGTTCACCTAAGATATCCATCGTCCCTCAGATTATCTCATTTCAAGCTAGCAGACATTTAGTCTTATACAGATCTGTGTAAACACGAAGACAGTAAGCGTTAATCTTGGCGATCATAATCGATATATCTAATGAATACATAATTAACCTAGAAATTTATAGGTTTACGGCCACATCACGATATAACACGGGTTCCCATAAGATTGCCGAAGTTAATCAACGTCAAGCCTAGTCAGTAACTAGATGAGTGACTGCGTGGGAACACCAGGTGCTTGGATGTGCGGGTGGTGTAATGGATTCTTACACGAAATTGTTAACCGGAGAGCCGAGTTTCGATCACAGTTGTGTTCGTTATATTCATTTACCCGCAAATAACTTTGAAAAATTAATAGCTTAATTAGTAAAACTTGTATCACTGAAACTATTATTATCTACAAAGCAAACGAATAAAACTGCGTAAAAATAGTTAAATTTCAGCATTAAATAACTCATAGGGGTTGATATGGCGCTAAATAAAATTAACCAACCCACATAGGAATTCGATCGAGTTACAGGCGTGTATTAATTTAAATCTAGATTGAGCAAAACTAACAATACAAAATCAATGAAAATGCAGAGAATACTATGAAGTAAAATGCAGGTTAGGACGCGCTAGATGTTAAGGTGACTAGTTTTACTGGTATTAAATGTCATCTGGTGATATTAAATGTCATCTACGTAAAGATAGGTAGAGCTGTAAATCAAGGATATTTTTACTATTTTACTTATCTTTCCTTTTTTTAAGTTAAGAGAGCGTATAACATTGGAATATAAATACTGTCACAATTTCTGTTAGTGCGCTTTCAAACTTGCTTTTGGTAAATTTCAAGATCCGCGTTTAAGTCAAGGAGTCATATTTCCTATATTCAAGAACTTTTAAAATTTTTTAGCGGCCATTATATTTGATTGACTACACGGAAAGATGGTTAGTCAGTTAGTACAAGGTGTTGTCCGTTGCTATTAATGGACTATTATAGAATGCAGTGTCCTCTCAATTGGAAGATTATTGCGCTAGTCTTGAGACTGGTGGGGGGGATACTGTCTGACATTAACATCAGCATTCAATGATTTTAAAAAGCTTCGGGCACTGGGAAATGATGCAGATAGAAAATGCATAATAAAGCAAATGTTGCTACCGACAAAATACGTTAAAATTAAAGTTACTACCGACCCTGCATTAAAATATATAAAGCATATGTTGCTACCGACTCTCCATACATAAAGCAAATATTGTTGTGGACTCAACAGTAAGATAAATAAAGTAAATGTTGCTGCGGTCTCGGTAATAAGATACATAAAGCAGATGTTGCTACCGACTCAGCTGTAAAATACACAAAGCAAAATCTTCTGCTGACTCAGCAATAAAATAAATGAAGTAGATTCCTCAGTAAAATACGAAAAAACAAATGTTTATGTGGATATAGCAGTAAAATAAATGAAAAAGATGATGCTGCAGTCTCGGCATTAAAATACATAAAGAAAATGATACTGCCGACTCAGAAATAAAATACATAAAACAAATATTGCAGCTTACTAAGAAGTAATGTACAGCGTAACCCGGATATAAGAGAGTTGTCGGGACCGGATAAGAAGTCTCTTATATCCGGGTTTCTCTTATATCCGGGTTTGGTCTATTTTATATACATTAACACAGGCTCTAATTTGGGACCAGAGAAAATCTCTCTTATATCCGGGTCTCTTATATCCGGGTTACACTGTACTTAATGCAATTATTGCTACGGGCTCAGCAGTAAAATATGAAAGGAAAATGTTGATACCCAGTCAACGTTAAGCACATGTTGCTACCGATTCAACTATAGAATGCATAAACCAAATGTAGTTGCGGACCCATCAGTAAAAATATAAATGCAATGTTGCGGCGGATTCAGCATTAATATACTTAAAATAAATTGACCTAGCAGTAGAATACATAATGCAAATATTGCTACGGACTCAGCAGTAAAATACATAAACCCAACGTTGAGGTGGACTCAGCAGTAATATACTTAAATGAAATGTTGCTTCCGACCCAGCAGTACTATACATACATCAAATGTTACTGCAGACGCAGCAGTAAAATACATAAAACAATTTCTGTATCGGATTCAGTCGTAAAATACTAAAAGCAAATCTTGCTGCAAACCCGCTAGTAAAATACATAAATGCAATGTTGCAGCAGACTCAGGAGCAATATTTTTAAAACAAATGTTGCTGTAAACCCAGCAGTAAAATACATAAATCCAATGTTGCGGGTGACTCAACAGTAAAATACTTAAATCAAATATTGCTTTGGAACCTGCAGTAAAATACTTAACGAATGTAGCTGCGGACCCAGCTGTAAAATACATAAATCAATTGTTGCGTCGGACTCGGCAGTAAAATAAATGCTTAAATGCAATAAAATTCCTAAAGCTACAGGAGGACAATCATGCCGTAAATTCTTTCTGTAATATTTGGAATGGTTTAATCTCGTCACAGGGAAACCTTTACCCAAATGATATGTGGTTCTACCGATGAATGCCGAGAATACTATAAATAGGTCAGTCAAACAAGCGGAAAATTAAAGAAATATACAATAAAACCTTATAATAATAAGAAAGTTAATTTTCTTTAACTAGCTTGTTGTGGAGATGAATAAACCTTCTCAGAATATGAGTTGGACTCGTTCAAATAGCATGTATACAGACGCCAAGAATCGTCAGCAGATAGAGACGGTTTTTTGTTTTTTTTTGGTCTTGCGAAAGTTCGTCCAACAAATCAAGCGCTAAGTCTTTTATTTATATTGTACTCGTTTTTGAACCTTTTTGTATTTGATTTTCAGTTTGTTTTTCCCTTGGTGTATTTGCAAACTTTAAGTTTTACTGCATTTTATTTTTGTGTGAACATCTTTCATTTTTATTCATTTTTATTTCTTTCGTGTGTCTTGTTTTTTGCAAACCAAGGTTATTAATTTCGTAGTTGTTTGTTGTTGTGCTTGTTTATTTACCCTGGACTCTAGTCCGCTTTTACTTTGTTTGTTTTCTTTCGTTTAAATATTATTATTTAAGTTTTGTATTTGGTGAAATTAATTTTTTAAAAAAAGTGTAAAAAGAAAGAGACTGGTTTTTTCCGTCGTAATAGTGCACGGCACTATTATGGCGGTGTTACGACAAACACCGGAAAGCGAAATATCGGTGATGACTGAAAATGTATCACCAAAAAAATCGGCCTGAGCAGAAACCAGACCCAAAAAGGACGCGGTATATTATGCTGAGTTGCGGAAGAAATATGAGGAGTACACTAATGAGCTCCTCACTATAAAGGAAGCCTTTGACGCCGTAAATGTAAAGACTATTTCCCTGTTGACGACCGACATAAAAAGTCGGAATTTAATTGGTGTCAACAGGGAAACCATGGAGGAAGCCCTTAAGAGCTTGAATATTGTGCCAAAAATGTTGGCTAGAAGATCGAGAGCGCTATGGGATTTGTTGATTCCAACAGAGGAGGAGGCCAAGAAGTTGGCCGGAAGTGTTTTGAATTCAAAGACACTCCGACTTCAAACAGAGTATATGGGTACCCGAAGAACAAATGTAACAGTGCATGAGGTGCCCATAGACATCTCAGAATATCGGCAGGAAGCTCTTTTGCCCAGTATGGAAAAGTGGAGAAGGTAGCGGGAGTGATCAGTAAAGCTGGAATTGCGACGGGTGATTTGGCAATCGAAATAACATTGACCCGTATGAACTTTACCGAAATCCCCAACATAATAATGTATGGAACCATGCATACCTGACGAGCTGAAAAGAAATATTCATAGATATATGATTTTTTTTTTTACGGTTTATCAACCATTTAATAATTATTTAGGGCCGAAAAATATTTCGGGTTTTAAGAATAATTCTTTCTTTACGTTCAAGCGATCTGGAAGAAGGAAAGAGAAAACGAAGAAGAAAGAAATAAAAAATAATACGAAAACAGGTCATAGGCGAGCACACACACGCTCGGCTGACAGATAACAGGTGTCGAAAAATATCCAGGTCAAGCATCTAACCGAGATCTGGGGAAAATGTTATCAATTGGTTGAAGAAACGAAGTTTAGGGACAATGAAAAATATTGATAAGTAACAAGTGGAAAGTGTGTCATTGGGATGATAGTAAAAGTCTAAGTGGGTGGGGAAGTGTATCTAAGGATATGAAGGCAAACCATTAATACTAAAACCCAGACAATCTCCAGAATTGGAAAAAGCCACACAAGATGATGTCGCTGAAATTTTTTTTTTGAAATGATAAAGATTTTTATTATCGGACCTTCGGCCGGAGGAAATGAAATATTTTTATTTCGTTCAAAAAAACGCCAACAGGTCTGAGAAATCACTTTCTTAAGTCATATCCAATTAGCGATAAACTGCTTGACAAATACCACGTGTTAAAAAGCCGAAGGTGTCATCACAGTCGCTCATGATAAGGGCGATTTAAATTAATATTTTTGTTTTTTAAGCAAGGTGTTTCTTTCCCCAAAACAATGCCACGGATTGTCCACACCCGACTAAAGATGTCATTGGCTAAATAAGATCACATGACTCACGAAGGAGGAGGAAAGATACCCGACCAGGACCTCATTGGCCGAGAGCGGTCACGTGACGCACGAGGAGAATCGGTCGACGCCCTTGTCAGAAGTGGAAGTGTAAGGAGCCGATACGAAGAAGCGGGGAAGCGGGTATACGCCCCTCAGAGGCACAGTAAGGAAGTGGGAGTGAGAGTGAGTTACCGAAAATGGAAAATCTCTAACCAGAAATAAGAAGGGTGGATACGTATTTAGAATTATCGAAAAACCCCTGGCGCCGACAGACCCACCCCAGTTTTGACTGCGTCAATAAAAGCGGGACCCCAACCGACAGAAATCAGTTTGAGTTTTGAGCCGCGGACTGGGGGCCAGGTTCGTTCGCCCTTTGCGGGCAAGAGGCCAGTTCGTTTGGCCTAGTGAAAGTTCGTCCAACCCAAGCCGAAGTGAAGAAGTTCGTCCGACCCAAGCCGAAAGAAGAAGTTAGTTCGTACCGACGGCGGAGATGGTGACCGTAATTCAGACTCTGAAGAGAAGTTAATTCGCGCACCGACGGCGGAGATGAGTGACCAGTAATTCAGACTCTGAAGAGAAGAAGTTTGAGTTGAGCCGCGGACGGCGAAAGAGTTCAGCCGTGGACGACAAGCAGAGATGAGCGCCCAGTGTTGAAACCGCGTCAAGATAGCTGACCAAG